TCTTTTTTTTTTTTTTTTTTTTTGAAGTGCAAATTGTTTTTGTGCTAAAAGCGTTCAGGTAATTTCTTATTGTTAGAGGAAAGAAGTTTCTATAACTTCGTTGATTTTTGTTCCTTGTCTTCTGTTTCACGTGTAAACAATTCAAAACACATGTATCAGGAAAATAAATCTAAAGGTTGTAGCATTTTCTTAGGTTCTGATCTATGAAGAACAACTTTTGGCGCATTGTCAACAGAATTCAGATAAAGCGAGCAGTTGTCTTTCAAAACAGCGTTCTGACTCATTGTGGGTGGCTACTGTTTTGTGTTTACATTGTACATCAGGGATATCTGTTGCTCTGTTGGACGACTGAGAAGGTGAATGTTCATTATTCTTAATTCTGGAGTTAGTTGAATCACTAATGAGCATTTCAACTGCAGCATTTTGATAAGTTTGTGGATTTGTGTCAGTATTTATACGAGCAGGGGATTAATGGATGTTTTTATTTTGCTGAAAGGGGTAAGGTATCATTTTTCTATTTTGATACTGACATACTTCAGGAACCAAGCAATTGCATATTAACAATAAGAATTTGTAACTTGTTGCTGCGCTAGGGTTAGTGCTGAACAATTGTTCATTTGTGGGACCTTTCGTTGTGATCTTTCAAGGTGTTTATGTGCAGTTTTTTGGGTTAATTTCTCTCCAGCAAAATCTAAACGTAAGAAAAAGCATAAATGGCATTCCGGCGAAATAAACCTAGCGTGCAGTTGACAAAAATATATGGCTTGGAGTTCTTGTGCGCTGTTTTTTTTTCAATATCAGCGATGTCATACGTTTTTCTTCACTGTCACAGATCTTTCAGCAGAAATGAGTAATCTACTTTTCTTCTGTATTATCTAATCAAGCTGACTCTTAAGACTCGCTGTTTAGTCTTGCTACAACTGCTGGAAGTGCACCGTGTCTTTAGCATAGCGCTTTGGCAAACTGTGTTACAGAAATGAAGTTATGTTACACTTGCCGCAAGCAGATATTTGCAGACCCGTAGCTGTCGAGGCACTTTCAAGATGGTAAAAAGCTGCCTTTCGAGGCAAGAAGCTGTATTTAGATGGGTGTGACTGTCGGAAGCTGTTTTTCATGTCATTCAAGTTGAAGGAACGTTAAAGCTAGAAATTAGATGCAGTAAAAAATTTTTGCTGTGATAATGAAGCATGAAAATTTGAGTTAGCATTAACCACTAAAATGAGCTATTTGTAAACTGTAGAAAAACAAAGTTTGATCAAGTATTTTACATTTTCATTTGCTTATTCGGATTTTATGTGCCTAAGTGATTGACAAATCTCTGATTTTGTTGTCGGAGAGAGAACTGAGGAAGTGAATATCGTCTTACAGGATCTTGTGCAGATTTACTTTTTTAGAAGTGATAGTGAGGTTGAAATTATCAGCACTGCCGTCCACTTTTTTACCAAAGAACCTGATCACATTCATATTTTTTAAGTACCATTTGTGTTGTCAAAAATTTTTTTACAGTATGTTGAGAGAAAAGAAAAAATCGCATTAAAAGGTTTACAACAAATGCTGTGTAAGTCAAACAGTTTATTCGAGGAGAAGATGGAGCGGGTTGATGAAAAGAACTGATTAAAAAGAGCAGACTTAGTTACAGTCTTTAGCTGAGTTTGTGTATTACTTGGAGGAAAGAATTTTAAGGCATTGGCATGCACATTTTTCTTTTATTTTCGACCGTTTTTTTCTCAACTTTTGTAATTTCTCATGAATTTTTTGATGTATGTCTAATAATTGATTGCCGTTTTAATAATATTAAGACGCTTTTTGGAAGTTTATGGGTTTTATCAGTGGCAGTATGCAGTTGTCAGCTGTAGTGGGACCTTACTAATGCGAAGTATCTTATTAAACCTGTAATAGATATGCCTTTTTACGACTGAATAGAAGTTTTTGCCTGTCTTTTTCCTGGTACCAGATTACTGTAGTTCACGATTTGGCTTGATCGGCAGGTGACAGTTCAAAACTGATGTTCATCAATCATCGAACTGCAACAACAGATAGAACTTGATTTAGGAAAAGAAAAAGTTTAGAAGATCGTTTATTAAAGTAAGTTTAAAAGTTCTTGATTTAGAAGACATCTTCTCCTGTAATAAACTGTTCGATTTATACAGCACTTGTTATAACGTTCTGTATTCTGAACATTTTAGCTGTCGCAATAATGGTATTTCGAGTTCTAATAAAAAATTTTTTTCAAGGACTCCGGTAACGTTACGTGGAGCGTTTTGTTCCAAAGATAGGAAACTTTGCTAGATGCAACAGTACACTATTTTACAAAGAAATATAAGATTTAGAATTAGTGGCGTAAAAGCATTTAATAGGAAAAAAGTCTATAATTTTTGAGTCTTAGTCAACAAACAACTTTCTATGGCGTCTTGTTACTGAAATGCTGTGGCTGATTGACACATTACCTCCCTTACTATTCAGTGCATCGGTAATGATGAGTTCAATAGTTCTAATTTGATTTCTATAGCACTAGTGTCGTTGGTCAGATCTTAAAAATAATGGCTGAATTGGTTGTTAATGTTCTATATTTTTACACATTATTAAACAGCATTGGTTCAAATGCTGCGAGAATAAAATGTACTTACTACAAGAACCGAGAAACGTAAAAAATATGAATAGAGTACTGATTTTTTTGCACTCGAATGCATTTAGGCGGTTTCGGTAGTTGTTAATGGATACACGTAACAAGTACGTGAAAACACGACTTTTAAGAAATGTTTAAATTTAAATTCAGGATGATAATGGTAATGAATATTCAAAATTTGTAGCTGAAGTGGTATAAATTTGTCTGCTGTACTCTTCTTTCTTATTCAGTAGTTTAGCTTCTGAAAAAAACATTCAAAAGCAGATAATGAGCAATGATGAAATCACAAACTGGGCTGATCTTACTGCACTATGACATAAAAGCACTGATGGATAAAAAGTTACAAATTTTGTTATAACTGATGTCACAACCCTGCACCATGATACTTTATGATGGGTGATTTGAGGCAGTAAATCGCTGAATATTTCTGTGGATTATTATCTGCAGAACTGCAAGGGAAAAACATTAAATTTATAATAGGCAGGTGCTGTTAACTCGTTTGTCAACACATACTTCTTATCTGCTTATTTTTTCTTATCATACCAAATAAAATTGATTTGTTAAAGACTACTATACAATAAAAGCAATATTCACCACCAACTATAAGTTGTATTACTTTTCAATTCTACAGTGAAGTACTTCTGCTTAATGAGTCTTGATCAGGTGAGTATGATCCTCATTTATACAAAAAGTTTTTTGGAGAAATCACGGTCAAGCAATTTTTCTGTAAAATTAACTTCAAAAATTCTAAATTAAAGATGCAGAGTAATGCCAAACAAAAAATCTAAAAAGTTTGGACCATTTTCTGAGGACGCACATCACAGGAAATGGTTTAAAATTGGATTTGTGCCGCTCTGCAAAAGCATTTGAAACTTGATTTCTGACAGTCAATGGATTCCTAAGTAGAAGAAAAGTGGACACTTTTTACTTACAGTTCCACACGTTAGTAGAAGCATAGTTTGCAGAAGGACCTTGACACACTGTACCTAGAAATTTTTGTGATTGCTGTTCACCGAAAACCGACTAGTTGTTTAGCAGTCAAAAAAGTACTTGGTCGTGTTTCTTTCTACAAGAAGCCAATATAGCAGCGATCATATTTTGCATTTCATGGCTCTGTTTGAACCCTTTTTATTATTGAAGAAGTGCTAAAATGTTTGAAATATTTTTTTTGTTTTACAGACCTTGGCAAACGTTAATCAGTTCATCGGCCAACTTCAAGAATGGTTCAATAATGTTAGCATTTCTTCTATCGCACTACAGAGCTTTCTGCAGTACAGTGCTGCAAACCCAAGTAACATACGAATTTAAAGTAAATTTTTTTTTTTTGCAGACTGGACCGAGAGCAAATCACCTCATGGAACTGATCGACGTACATTTGAACAGCGTCAGCATTACTAGACGTATTCTAAAATTTTTTTTTTGCAGGCTTTATTTCTTTTACCTGTAATTATCCTTCTAAAAACACTTTTTGTTTTATTTTTTCCATGTTTATTTGTTTTTTATGTTAACATAGCCATTCTTCTTTCGTTATAAAAGGTAATCTTGATTAATATAACAAATCTATGATGGATTTTTTTTGCAAACCGGCAAAAACGTGAACGAATTAGTACGTCAGCTGAGACAGCAGGTGAATAGTGTTAGGTGTCTTAAATGTACCTGTGAAAAACACAGTAACACATTTTTTGTGTCCATGACATGACCAGTGGAATTAATAGTAACCACTTTTGGTCTTTTTTCTTGTTATCTGCAATCATCAGTTCTTATATGTAAAAATAAAATTTTCAACTACAGACAAGAATAAGTAAGGTTTTCTTTGCAGACTTTACCAGAAGTATACGCTGTGATAAAGCAGATTCAAGACCATGTCAGTAAAGTTACCGTCAATACTCTGTAGAGTGCTTTTGTTGCATTCATAGCAGTATTTAGTTTGTAGTTTTTTATATCATTTTTTTATCAAAAAAAAAAAAGATTAAAATTTTACAGCAGATTTTTATGCAATCTTTTTTTTGCAATGTTTGATTTCCTAAACGTATCTTTGAGTAACGCAGTAATACATCTTTTGTGCCCACAAAATGACCAACGGATTTAGTAGTAACTGCTTTTGGTTTTTTTCTTGTTACCTGCTGTCATCACTTCTTATGGGCAGAAATAAAGTTTTAACTACAGACAAAAATAAGAAAGGTTTTCTTTGCAGACCATACCAAAAGTAAACGCTGTGATAGATCAGATTCGAGATCATGTCAGTAAAGTTACCGTCAATACCCTTCAGAGTGCCCTTGTTGCATTCACGGCAACATTTAGTTTGATGTTTTTTTATATCATTTTTTTATCAAAAAAAGAAACTAAAATTTTACAGCAGATTCTTATGCAATCTTCTTTTTGCAATGTTTGATTTCCCAAACGTATCTTTGAGTGACACAGTAATACGTCTTTTGTGCCCACAAAATGACCAGCGGATTTAGTAGTAACTGCTTTTGGTTTTTTTCTTGTTACCTGCTGTCATCACTTCTTATGGGCAGAAATAAAGTTTTAACTACAGACAAAAATAAGAAAGGTTTTCTTTGCAGACCATACCAAAAGTAAACGCTGTGATAGATCAGATTCGAGATCATGTCAGTAAAGTTACCGTCAATACCCTGCAGAGTGCCCTTGTTGCATTCACAGCAACATTTAGTTTGATGTTTTTTATATCTATTTTTTTTCAGATCGAACTAGGATTTTAGAGCAGACTCTCAAACAATTTTTTTTTTTGCAGACTTCACAAAATGAAAGTTCACTGACAGGACAGGTTACTGGTACAGTCAGTAAAATCAACAATTACGGAGTACCTGTACTAATAGGAACTTTTGCATTAGTTGCAATACTGCTTTTTGTTACTATAGTTACTATTATTTGTAAAAGCAGGAAAAATCGAAAGTATAATAATTTTCTAAACAGGTACATTTTTGCAAAAAATAGTCAAACATACCTTTTTTTTTTGTTCTATGTAATGCCACCTCAATTGGATTTTCGGATATGTCTCTTGTATAGCTTCAAAAGATTCTGGACTGACCACTGAAACCAAGAGCCAAATGAAGCTAATAAAACTTTCAAAGGCATAAATTTCTTTAATACTTTTAAATGCTTTACCGAACAAACAATTCTTGTGTACCTGTTTGGTTCTTCAAATAAACTTTTTATTTGGCATTATCCTGGTCGACTGACTAATTAGTCTTTCAGTATTGAAGAAAAAGGAAAAAATGACGCTCAACAGCCGTTGCAGAACGAAGCATAAAATACCGCGGCTATCGTTGCAAGAAAACAATTGAACGGATTCAAAGCTTTAAATTAAAATTCAAAGAATTACTGGGTTTATATTCTTATCCATTTTTACTTCTTATTTTTCGTTGTTTTTGTTACTGCTGCTGTTGTTGTACACTTTTTGAATAATGTAATAGTTAAACATGTTATGCTTTTCATACCCCGAAAAGAAGTGATGAGCAATAAAAACTTATGCAGTGTCTTCTCAAATGTGAAAGTCGCAAATGCAAAAAAAGCGGCTTCCTGTTCACGAAAATGTCTGCAAAATATAAACTGAGTGACCACAAACGGATTTCAGCAATCACTCATGGTTTGTTAACCCAGAATACTTCGCTTCTTAGTGGCTATACCATTATACCTTCAATCACGACCTATACCACTATATTTCTATAGGGATTTGGCTTCTTTAATTTAAAGTTCCTTAATATCCTCTGAACGTCTAAACAAAACTGGAACTTCAACAGAGCAACAACGAGATGCGTTACAATAGGCTGCTTAGAATGTTAACAAAAAGCAGACAAAGGCCATGTCAAAAATTACTACTCGGTTCCGGAATCCGGTATCTAGTTCGGCCCTCTTTCCACACCATTTGTTAAACTTTTGACCCGGTTCAATTTTGTTTATATCTTGCTTAATTACTGAAAGTTCCCATCCACTGTTCAAAAACCTAGTAAACGCGGGCAGGATGGTATGTCTTTTCTCCCGTATTGCTTCCCTTGGTTTCATACAACGGGTTTCTAGAAACCCAATTTTTCTATTAGTGGGTGAAAAATGGGACAACCGAAACTGGGATAATTCTGTAAGAGCAATATCTCATAGTTTTTTGCAACCAATAGTGTAAAACTCGCCGTCCTTTTTTTTGGTGACGCCGTGAAGACAGTCAAGAACTGTGGTTTCTTTCTCTAAATAAAAACAACCTCGCTGTTGTTGAAAGCAGTTTTACCAAAACTTCCCCGAGCAGCACTGCACTTTCTCGCAGTTAATGTTTACAAATTCTACAATTTTGCTGTCAATTCTATCAGACACTAGACTCAAACCTCCACTTCCTTCTAAAACAATAACTAATTCTTTTTCCTGCAAACTTTTTTCAAATGCAAATTTGTAGCCAACCCACTCACTACTAGGCTCCTATAATTGTAGATGCTTCATACAGAACAAGTAACAATGCCTTAAAAATAACCCCAAAAACCTACTAAACATTTTGTAAAAAAGAACTATCTGCTTCTGGCCCTTCCTGGCAGTGAATTCTCCTCAGTTTCAATGGAACAGATCTTCGGATTAAAAACACCACTGTTTCAACTAGGGGATTTCGCTGTTGAAATAACGCCAAGAAAGCAGTTTCGACAGCAAATACCGCACAAGCAAGCTCAATATAGACTGTGCTCATTGTCATTTTGCACCATATCTCGTTCCCAACAGCACATTCACTATGTTTTTTTTAGTCCACTCTAACGGAAATCAGTTCACATCATTAATTTCGCCAGAAGAAAAACAAAGATTCTGTTGCTAGCTTGAGAACAATAAAAGAGCGAAAAAATGCCTGCGATTGAAAAATTATGATGAAAAACAATAAATTCATTTGATGCTAGGAACTGGACAACTGTACATGAATGACGATGAAGAAAATATAATCTAAAACCAAAAAAAATCTTAAAGAAGGAACAGTTGAAAGAACATATATTAAAGCAAAATTGCACAGACATAATTTCTGATTGTAAAAAGCAAAGTTAAAGCACCCTCACATCAAGGGATGATATTCAGTGTAATGAACATAAACAACGTATCGCACATTAACAATACTAATTAGTATAAGGCAGTAGGTTCGACAAATTTCTTACATTAAACGAAAAAAACCGCTCAATGACGACTCCAATAACTTGCAAAAGCACAATGGCTCAACAACATAAATTAAACTGAAGCAATTTTTGGCCTTAAAAAACTAGGAGAAATAATAAACAATTCAACAAAAATAACCAAAACTAATTCAAAATACCAACTCCAAAATATTAACACTAGCAAGAACATCTTTCAACCACACAAATGTATTAAGCCAAATGAGTCAGTCGTTCCGCAGAAATAATCAGAAATTGCTCTTCAAGAAATATATATAAGAGACAGAAAAATACAAATCCACTCCAGAAACAGTAACAACTATAACCTAGTGGACGGGACAAAGAACAAACATTTGTCCCTCACTTAAAAAATGTAACTTTTTTGAACAAATATGTAGACCCTATGCTGTTCTTCCTCAAACAGACAGTACACCTCTTCCCCTTAAAAGCTTAGCATCCTTTTGCACAAAAAGCAATATTAGAAAGAAGGAATACAACTGGAAGAACTTTGAAATAAAACAATTACTGTTGCCTGAAACATCTTTAGTGACTTTTAGGCATGAAGCAGCAAAAGATCAAAAGATGGAACAATTTAAAATGCTAATTTGCTATTTGTTAAGACAAATGCTGTTTGTTAAGTAATCGTAAAACAAGAGCAGTCCGAAATAAAGAAGGACTGAAGTAAAATCAAAAAGATGAGCAATTATTCAGTAACAGCAAACTAAAGAACCAATCAGCAACAACACCTGCTTGTGAAAAAAGAACTGCAGACGGTTTTTCTAATATCAATTTTATTTATTTTAGATTACTGCACTAAATTTTCACTCATATAATGAGATCTCAAACTCGTTTCGAAATAATTTTAGTCGCAGTTCAAAACAGATTAGAACAACGTTCTTCTTTACAATCAACTTGTAAAGAGAACTAAAAATTAAAGATCTTGACGACCCGGAAAATAATGATCAAAAATCTATCCTTACTGCCGCCTGTTTTTTGCCATATTACCACTGTACACGGGATTCTTAAACGTTGTAGTTGCTTGTTTATAGATTGGATTTTCGTTCTATAATAAAGCTCAATAAAAAAAAAGTACATAAATAAATAGATTCTATTAGACGATTTTGAGAAAAAAACGTAAAAAAAATAAGCAAAAAAAACGCTTATACGTAAGAGGCAAAAAATTACTGTATCCCATTTAGCCATCAGTCGTTCATTCTCAAACTTCGCTACTTCGCGGCGATCATGAATTACTGTCAAAGCTTTCCAAACGAGCAAAAGTAACAGACCTAATATCACAATTCCAGCAATAACTCCAAGGACAATTGCCAGGACTGGCACTGGTGGTGGACAATCTGGAAAAAAGTATGTTTGAAGTAGCAACATCAACAGACAACAACAATAACCCAGCTCGAAGATGCGGTAGAGCAATTGAAATTAAAATAACAAACCTTTCTCTTTCTTCACCCATACAGTAACATTATTATCTTCATCGTCCAAATAGAGGAAATAGAAAGTGCAATCATCTGAAGTATCGACGAACTGACACTGCTCCGTACCATTGATAACTGAAAGAAAAAAATAAATAAATAAATTCTAAAAAAAAATTTACAGCAAAAAGAATGCTCTCACCTGGAAGCTCATCAACAGGTATAACAGTGAAAGGACACTGCGCACACATAGTTTCGTTATACGGACCAGTTTTCCATTGCTGGCACTGAACACACGCTTTATGCTCAACGCATTTCTTGGGGCAGGTCTAAAATTATGAACTTCAGTAGGAAAAGGCTTAAACCACTTTTAGACAAAACGTGACTTTTCGCTCCGCAAAGCAACTTACTCCCCAGCAAATTAAGAAATGTACGCCGAAGAAAAAAAAAATCAGAATATCTCATATACAACTAATCATCGTAAAGGTGAATCAGTACCGGACAAGATTCACACTTTGCGCCCGAATAACGATGAGTTTCAGTTGTGTTACACCTGCACTGTCCACAAATGCATTGTCCATGACCATTGCAGATTTTTCCATTAGCAGATCTGCAACTTTCTGTGCTCAGTGGACATTGACACGCAACACCTAAAAGATTGTCAAAGTCGAAAAATATAAACACCATAAAATTAAGGTATAAAGATATTTTAAAAATCCATACCTGTCCAACCGGGTTTGCATTTGCATTTATTGCATTCACATTCACCATTTCCTGCACAGGGTATCCTATTATGATGAGGACAATTGTAGTTATCGCATTCACAATACTTACCATAAATCTTTTCCAGCGGGTTCTAAAATAAAACAATACTCATTAAGGAAACGTACAAAATATACTTCAGGAACATAACTTTTTTTCTCCCTTAAATACAAGCCAACAAAATCTAATAGTAAAACTTATCTGGTAAATTTAATATTCAATACAGAAAGTAAAAGAGTCCAATACAACAATTATGGCATGATAAAATAAAAAATAGAACTGATTTCGACAAAAATAAGAACTTTTAAAGTAAAAAGTAACTTACATCTCTTTCCTTACATTTGCATACACCACATTCACAATAACCACGGCCGTCGCACATCGGGCTATCCTTATCTCTGAAAATTCAGGAATTATATACTGAATACCAAAAAAAAATGAGGAAAACCGAAGTTCTTTATTAAGAAAAAGTTTAGTGTTGAATTAGCTCCCCAGAAATCTCAAAACATAAAAAAACAAACTTTCTGCACTGCGATTCAAGGGCAACGTCAGAGTATCCAGGCCTGTCGCATTGACAAAAGCGACCGACATTTGTACCGTGGCATCTACAAACGCCACAGACCAGATCACCCTTTCCATTACAAACTTTCGCATCCCTTATTATATTCTAGAAAAATTATTTGAAATAAAAGTGCTTCTGGCATCATAGTACCAAATTTTGTGACTTTTAACACCTCACTAACATCTAGTTCTAAAAAAAAGTCAAGTAACTTGCCAATATGCTTTTTAGAAGCTCACCTGCCAAGACTGTTATTTTTAAACGTGGCACTTGAGATTAAACAATTTAAAACCGATTTTAAACATTAACAATAATAAAAATAAAAATAAGTCATAAACTGCACAAACTTCTTTCTCACAGTCGCAGTCACACTGTACATGTACATTAGCCACCAATGTCTCATCAAGCCCACTTGGACCGATTTTCAAAACAAAATCTCGTTGATCCACGCAGTGTGTGATCTCCAACGTCAGTTTAAATGTTACTTCGTCACCAACTTTGATACCATTACAAACATTGGTTTCCTGCCAAGTATCACTAAAACAAAAAAAAAAAAAAGTATTTGACCATTCAAAGAAGTGAGCTTAGAAGTGCAAATTACCCCAAACACTTTGTTCGATAGGTGAGATGGAATCCTTGCGAGGCGTTTGCATTGTCAATCATAATAATTTCTTGTGAAATCTTACTGTATTCTGTAGCAATTAGTTCAATAATATTTTTGGAATCATTTGCAAGCACGCCGACTGAACTCCCCACGTCGGGCAACGCTTCTTTTAGCTTTAAATAATAAAAAATAGTACAAAAAAATTAAAAAAAGACAAAAACAACAAATTTAGTACATAATCCTAAAACAGACTTGACTGTAAAGGTTCTCATATGGTTTTGTAACGGCAAAGATCAAGTTAGCTTTTCTCTCCATTATCTTCTGATGAAGCAGTGCAATAGAAGGATAGTCCTGTTCTAAAGATTCTGTATAATAACCAGAATCATTTAGATGACACTCTCCGTCATTTGGCTTAACTACTCCAGCCAGCTAAAAAAATAGCAACATACTGAATATCAAAATTCCTCATAGCTAAAACTCGTAGTTTTTAGACGTTACAAAAACTTCTGTTGCCAGTTAGAAAAAACAACGTTTTATAGCACAGAAAACGCACTCTCCCGTCACCCGCATAATGGAAACCAGCGTCAGTTGAGAACACTACCATTTTTCTCGCTTTGTTGCGCCAACCAACTTGTTTCTGAAGAAAATAATAGCTAAGATGATAGCTTTCCGTATAACAAAATTTTATCCCTTTACCACTCAATTTAAGATTGCTGCACTAAATAGATGGCAATTCTCCTATATACAATAAACAAATATGAACAAACGTGGCATGCTAGCGCCTGTATAATTGCATCGAATCCGCCTTCAGGAGCATCAAGATTACCCGAAATTTCAGCTTCCCTGACTTCTTTCTAAAGTATCTGCTTAGTCCGATCGTTAAAGAAAATCAAAAACAATGAGATTCCTCTACCATTAGTGCCTCGGTAGATCTGATAAGCGTTACCAAGCTGTGAGCTTATACTATTTGATCTTTTCTCAAATAACCAATACAAATACTTACTGAAAACCTTTTAGCATCCTTCGTTAAACTCATTTGATTTTTAAAACCATAAGGTGCGGCGCATGCGTTAGGACACGGATTACGAGCTCTAAAATCACAAA